TGCATACACAGTTTTTTGTGCAGTTTTTTCACCGTCACTTGTGCACAGCATTGATGGTATAGATGAGCAAAACGCATTTGGCCAAGAATTTCAAAACCTGATTCCTAACGTTAGTTTCCTAAGTTCATATTTAGGTACTTAAATAACTGGCCTGATTTTCAAAAGTGTTGAGTACCTTGTAGTTCCTTGCATCTGCCATCTTCCATCTTTCCTATGCCCAATCAGAGGATGTTTGCTTTCAAATTGTGTTGCTCTGACTCCTGGAACTGCTGGATTTCTTCTCCCTGAGTTCTGTTAGCACTCATGAAGCTAATCAGGCTCATTGCTTCTCACAGTAGTGACACACTCTAAAATGTACTGGAATACATGCGACCCTCCAGAAGCTGGGATGCTAGCAAACGCCAAATCTTGCAGGTTATTTGGGCAAAACTGTAAGTGTTGGTAGCCATGCACAGATCCCAGCATAAGCAGCTGGATGCTACTTCTCCTGCCGCAGGAGCATGGATGGAACCTGAAAATCAGGTGCACATGCTTTTTATATACATGCGTCAGTTTCACAAGGATCCTCTTCCTAGCTTTTCTGCAAATCCTCAGTGCTTCCTTGTACACAGTAGTGGAATCACAGGAGTCAGGTATATGTGTGGGCAGTGAACAATTGTTTCACCTTCCTACCCAATAAGGCTAACGCCAGCTCTGATCAGGCCCTAAAAATAGTATAAACTATTCAAAATCAGGGTTGATAACAGAAACACTGACAGACCATAAGTGGGAGCAATAAAACTTGATAACTCAAAGAGCTGAGGGTAGAGAGAAGAGATTCCCCGTTCTTACAAGAATTAACAAGAGAGGCAAGATGGATGAGGTAATATCTTTTATTGGACCAACTTCTGTTGGTGAGAGAGCTACATAGAGCTCTTCTCTGAGTCTCTCAAAAGCTGGTCTCTCTTGCCAACAGAAGTTGTTGATCCAATAAAAGGTATTACCTCACCCACCTTGTCTCTTTAATATCCTTTGACCAACACGGCTACAATAACACTACATACAACTAATTAACAAGTTAATAGTTCTTTGGAGTTTAAGGAAAACGTATTTGGCTCCTTTTTTCACTAGTTGTAATTCCTGAAATGATCATTTTAAATTTAGAAATAGTACTCCTCAAAAATATTACTCCACTGTATGTTGTTCTAGTAAAACACAAGGGTCTTTTACAGGCCATTCCACAAAAATGTTGACTTCTTTACTCGCAAAGCATGTGGTTTTAAGATTCATTAGACCTCTTTTCCCTCTGTAAATCAGCTCATCCAGAGGTGGGGAGTACCAGGAGATGGGAGCAGCAGCAGCCACTAAAAAGGGATGCCAAACTGGGATGGTGCTTCGTAGTCTTAGCACCTAAACTTAACATACTGAACCCAAAACAAACACACATGGCTTTTTGAAAGATTATGTGTGTCCTTTCAAAAGTAACATGAGCGTTAATGGTTTTGGCTTTTCTGGGTGAAATCTTGATCCCACTGAAATCTTTAGGAGTATGGGTATTAACTTCAGTTGGGCCAGACAGTGTCAGTGTCATGGCATGACACTCAACAGTGCCTTTTTAATAAGGAAACATCTGCTTTTGTCATTTTTCAGATATGATAATATCTTATATTTATACATAGTGTCTTTCATCATGGGGATCCCAAAGCACTTAACAAACTCTCTTATGCAGACTACCCACAAGGATAAATTTACTCACCTTTGAGATGCAGACTCTCTGAGGTGAAATGCAGTAGCTGTTCATCAGCACATAGCATCACTAGAGAACAGTTTAGGACAGGAAGTGAAGAAGAAGGCCATATCCAATTGAAATTGGAGCGGTAATTCAGGGAGGCAGAATAATATTACCCAAATTGACATTTTTCCAGGATATGGAAATGAACACCCTCAGCTTTACAAAAAGAGCCACGGGGTCTTTATCAACCATAGGGGCTCAGATGTTTTATTTTATGGCTTATCTGAAAGAAGGCACCTCAGCAACAAAATGCCCCCTTCGCACCAGGCTGAAGCACTGAAATTGGTTCAGTAATGATTTAGGAAATAGTCACTTAGGTGCTTTCCAAAGAACCTTTTCAATACATCCCGGTGTTTTTCTCACGCTTCTCTGCGTATTTTCAGAATGGATGGGCAGAAGCAGATACAATTCACTGAGACACAGTGCGGTATTTTTTCTTGTTACTGTTCCTTTTTTTGTTCTTGCTTGATCATTTTTATAGTCTTTTTCTAAACAAATAGGATATAATTTTGTAGATTATAAATAATGGTGAAAGGTTGCATTCTCTACATTATTTAGTTCCATACTTGAGTGCAGTGAAAAGTAGTTCCATTAATTAATGAGCCACAAAAATTCCAGCTGTTGGCCACACGGTTATTCCTTGTGCTGGCACAAATGCATTTCCTTCCTCTCCACATGCCTGTGTTTCATTTCAGTCTGTAGTGTGGCATTTGCCTATACTCTGTGAACACTCTTCTGACACACCCATGGAAAAATATATGCCTTTTTTGTTATAAACTATGCATTAGAATGCACATCCTGATTTGTGCTTAAAAAGAATGGAACTCAGTGTCTTTATTTGTGGTTACTATAATTTGCAGTATAAGGCCCCAACTCCAAGTTGAAGATGGTTGTGGTAAAATGTAGACAAATTCAGAACTAACTCCTCATCCAATTTTAAGATCCTAACTCGGGCTCCAATGGTAAACTTGTTAAAAAAAATTAAACCACTTTAAGTGAATTTGGTGCTAGACTGAGAGCCCTGGAGACTGAAGCCCTCTTTTTAGCCACAGGATAAGTACAGTGTAGGTTGTCAAAGCTATTACCCAGTGTTTTGCCAGTGTGCTTCAGTCCTCTGGAAGGACCACTTGTTACTTTCTCCTCTTCTTGTCTATTCCATCTCTGGTTTCTCTGCAAAGGCTTTTAGTGTCAAATGTGGTGGTTTTGTAAAGTGGGCAATTTCTCACTAGGAGCTATACCAAGGCCTCCATGCTTTTTTGCATAATTCCCACACAGTCATTAGAAGAAAACAACTTTCAATCTTACTACTGACCTGGGTCAATTTGGAAGTAGCACCTTAAACCCCTGAGCCATTCCATCCAACTTTTTAGAGGCAAGGACTTACCCTCCCTGTATATATTTTTAAATTAAACTGTTTCATTTAGCAAAAAGCACCATGCTCACCCCTGGAAGAGGAGTATGATGCAGCGATTAAAGCACATGTCAGAGACTAAGGAGACCAAGTTCTATTATTGGCAATTACAAGGATTTGTGTGATCTTAGGTCACTTAACCTTTTTGTGTGTGAGTTTCCCAATCTGTAACAATGAGTCTGGTAATGCCAGAGTAGTCAAAACTTGCTTCAGAAGGGTGTTGTGAAGTTTAAATCATTGTGTAAATGTTCGGAGATTCTTGGATGAGAGGTGCTATGACTCTTATTAATATTTTATTAATGTATTCAAATCTTGCTCTTCCATTCCAAATACCCATTGTTATGTGACTAAAAACAGATTCCATTATTTTCCTTACCCACTATGGAGGCACATACATGTCAAGACCCTTCCCGCCTCCAATACATACACACATTCAACAATTTCAATTTTCTAGGTTCTTTTTCCCCTTAATGGAGTACTTTGATATATCTGTCACAGTACTAACAATGTAACCATCCTACGAACAATATCATAGAAAAGAACAAAAACATTTGGGGGTATTTAAACTCTTCAGACTTTAATCTAAACTATTTATTAGGTTCTAAATCAACTGCTCATCATAAGGCCAAGTAGTTGAAGAGTGTTGGAAGAATAACAGAATCCTGCCCTTTACATTTCTGCAATACAAATGCCCTGTGGAGAGACATGGGACTTCAGTTACCCAAGTTTGCCAATCCCTTATCTTTCATGAACATTAAATTTACATTTAAAGCTATTTATTCAAAGTAGCGTTAACCACTAGAATAGGGAAGATCAAACAAATCAGTTGTAAGAAATGAAGTATGAGGAAACCAGAACTCTTTGACAAAAATATTCCTTGGAGTAAATGTGTTGAATGAAGCCAGCGGGTAAATGATAAGGGCCTTTACAATCTCGATGTAAGAAAGCAATTTATCAAGAGTACATGAACTCTCCAGTGAATCCAAGAAGAAACCAAAGTACAGGAGGAGGAACCCCTATAACATTATTTTAAAAGCTCAAAAAGTTCTGTTTAAAACAAATAGTCTGGAAGTTTAGGTGCTGTGATAGAATTCATAAAGTGGAAAAGAAATTGAGAGCAAATAATAGTATATGCTGAAATGTATGATGCCACATGTAATTCCATCACATTAAACATCACATAAGGGGAAAAAGAATTACTAGATGCTCCTCCCAGCAAACCGAAAAAAAAGCTCAAACCTCGCCTTCCCCCATCTCTTTAAGTTATTAGTATATTTGATCATAAAATTCATTCAAAAGAGGTAAGTTGGATTGAATTGGCTATGTTTGCCAGTGTAATAACTAGCAGTTCAATTAGCAGTAAATTGATGATTCCAGTTTATGATTATGCACGGCAGCAATTTTTAAAACATTGCAGTGGATTCTATTTTCATAGATTAAGGCTCAAATTTTTAGAAGTGTTCATTCATTCGGGTGCATCCATTTTTGGTCACCCTAATGTGAGATACTGAGGGCCCAATTCTTCAGAGATTGTGTGTACCCAGAACTCCAATTGAAGTTAATGGGAGCTGTGAGCGCTCAATACCTTTGAAAACCAGCAGGGCACCAAAAACTTAAGCATGAAAGATTAATGAAAACTCTTGAACATTTGAGCCTATTGCTTACCGTCTCTAGTCTGTAGTAAAGAAGATACACTTGGTGTTTATGGAAGATTCACTTTGACAGAATATTAGATATGCTTTAATAATCTTACTTTTATTTTTATTTTCCTCTCTCCCCATCTCTGTGTCTACTCTTACTCCAACCTGTATCTATCAGCTTTGGACAAGCTTAGCACTCAGCATCTGTACCACCCTACCCAAGTGGAGATTGTGCAGTCCAACGTAGTGTTTGACATCAGCAGCCTGATGCTTTATGGTACCCAGGCTGTGCCTGTGAGACTGAAGATATTGCTGGACCGACTCTTCAGTGTATTGAAGCAGGAAGAGGTGCTGCACATCCTGCATGGCTTAGGCTGGACGCTTCGGGACTACGTTCGGGGCTACATCCTTCAGGTAAGAAGAGGTTTAAAGCAAGTAGTAAAAATTGTTTGGCTGACCATTATTTTGTATGTTGAAGTTACTAACAGTTGTGCACCCAACATGCTTTTTACTAAAAGTCTGTCCTTTTAACTGTGGATCTTTAGGTAAATAACTGTGAGATGTATTTGACATGTTGTACCTTGACGGTGGTACAGTATGTAAAACTTGCTACTTTTGCCTAAGGTACAGGTTCCTATCCACAGTATTCTCTTTTACTTCCCTACACTTAGTGTAGGAAATACCTTGAATACTGCAAATACTGAGGTTACTTAGCTGCAAGCCTTATTTAGTCATCTAAAGCAACTGGCATGTTTTCAAGAGCTACCGCTCAACTTCTATAATCTGAAGTCCAGTGCAGCTGCTTCTTCAACTTTTCCTTCCTTCCTTCACTCATTTATTTTTGAGGGAGGAGAACTATCCTATAATACATTAAAAACCCATATTCCTAATATAAGTTCATGGTTAAAAGCTAACCTTTGAGCTTTTACATGTGGTTTGTAAACCCATTCCCTTTGTAAAATTGTAACAGCTTGATTTATTCACAAAAAATGGCATTTCCATGTTTAATCTTCACCCAGTCACCTGCAATCTTCACCCAGTCATCCGTTAGCTTCCAAGATATTTATTATGCTATCTGTTCAAAAGGGCATTTCAGATCTCGTGTCCTATACCACATGGTTCTGAGTGCCCTAAATTGCTACGGGCTTCCATGGGAGTTGTGGGTGCTCAGCACCTACCAGATTCAAGCCCATAATTTGGACATACCCAAATGAGCCAAGCTTGATTTTGAAGATTACTATTATTGCATTTTTGTATTTATTTTATTAATTTATGTAGGCACAAATAACATAGTTGGCCTGTTACAGAACACAGAGGAGTCTTTGTTCCTGCCCAAAGGAACTTTCAATGCTTATTTCTTTTATTGCCTGTTTCATGCAACATCCTTTCTGTAAAGGAAGCACATTAGCCTGCACATAATTACATCATGTTTTCAAAGAAATTATCTTAAAACTCCTTCTAAAAGATTGTCATAGTAAACAGTTCTGCATTGTAGATCGTCCTAGAGAGAGAGAAAAAAAGAGGCTAACTGTTGTATTGAGGCCCTGCTACTCTTATTAAGGTATATACAAATTCTAAAGTTTTTTAGATTTTTTCAGCATTCTTTATGGATTTTTTTAAAGCTAAATGTTCCAGGTGTCCACATGTAAAATATAATCTGCTATGATTTTAACCCAGTTTCAGAAATTAGAATTGATCTTTTCAGAAAACACGAATGCAGTGTGTCTTGGTACATGCTGTAGTTGCTAATATGTGGCTTGTATTATTGACAGAATATGGATATTTTTTAGTGATGCTTTGCATTACATTTTAAATTCCTGGATTCTGAATGTTGATGTTTAAAAAGGGTGAAAAAATCCTAGTATCCAGATGATTCCAGATGACAAGCTTACTGCCTATTTAGAGACAAACTGTTTGTTTTCAACCATATGATAAAAATTAAGATAAATATAGGGTTAGAAAGAACATTGTAAGCCTCGAACCTGATTCAGTAACTCTTGCAGACAAGAAGAATCTCACTGAAATCAGTGGCTCTGCTCACTTAAGTGTTGCAGAATCAGGCAATTATCTGTTGGAATGATCTGAAGATATGCAAGAATGGAATGTAATATAATTATATAGAGGATTATAAACAGTCACACTGTGCATCTGAATGGTGTAAAGCCCTATAATACACCATTAGGCTAGAGGTCAGTTTATCTGGCTAAAACTCAATCGTATTGTAGCCCTCAAGGCATCAATTTTACCATTATTGCACTCAACAACAGTATATTGAATATTATGTCAGTTAAAGAGAATAATTATTGAGGCGAGTTAAGGGCGGCTGTTAAAGTCTTACCACATATTGACTTGGTTTGCAATAGGCTGTAGATTGTGTTACTGGGCAGATGAAGACATACTACAAGAGACTTAGTCAAGTCTGTCTGTTAGTTTAGCTCTCTAATTGTGTTTGTATTAAAGCTAGGAAACACGGTATATCGGGGGAAAAGAGAGTTCATTAAACATTTTCAGTGAAACCTGAGGGAATGTGATCAAAATATTTGGGACCTAACATTAGCATTTATGATTTGGTTTTTAAATAAATACATTGCAAATAACTTTTTCTTTAGTGGAGGAGGGTGGTGTAAGGTAGATTCTGTATGGGAACATATGGTACCCTAGCCACCAGCACTTAGAGTTCACAATAGTGACTATTATAGCATGTAGGTTTTTCTATGAGGGTCATCACTGTAGAACTTGAGCACTTCCCAGATATTACTCTGTTTTGCCATACAAAAAGCTAGGTACAGAAGTATTATTAGCCTCATGTTAGTGATGGGGAGACAGAGGCACAAAATTAATTGTCCGAATTCACACACGGAGTCTGTGACAGAATGGGGAGCTGAACCCAGATCTCCTGAGCGCCAGTCCAGTGCTGTGGTTACAAGGCCTTTCTTCCTTTTGCATGCAAATTCATTTCTGTTATAACCCAGTGTATTCACTTGCTCAGAACTTTCCCATGTGCATCTATGCAGTCAATGTGCTTGTATCTACTTAGCAAAAACTTGTCATGTTTTCAGGAAGTTAGTTGATTTCAGCCACTCCCCCACCACACAGGGGAAACTAGGACCCAGGTGTTCTGCCCCTCCCCCTGTCTTGTGGCCTTGGGGGAAATTTGCAGATAGTAACCAGCCAGAGACTCCCGTGTGTAGGAGCAGCTAGAGAAGCTTCCAGGCACAGCCATTCAGATATTCTGTGAATTTACAGCAGTTTTGACTGAACTGTCTCTGCCCTGTGATGATTGGCTGTTTGCTTCAACCCTCTCCTTCACAGTCTCTTCACCTCAGTTTTACTCCAGACCTGCCCCTCTTAACCGCTTCTTCCCTGCCTTGTCCTCTCTCACCTCTCTTTCCATCAGTATCCCCTCTCCCTTAACTTTTCTTTCCAAGTAGCTGATCCCCTCCTAACTAAATCCAGCAAAAGAAGAAAAAAAATCACAGGACTAACATGACATTGTTTGTAACCATCATCCTGTTCATAGTCTAGGTCTGTAATGAAAGGGAGTATCTGGGCATGATGTAGGTGGAGAGCAGCAGTGGCCATTGCAGATCTCCACTCACCTAGTCCTGAATACAAATTCCATAGAGCTGGTTTCCATCCAATGTGGAAATTCTGATATCTCATCATTTGTTTTTGTCCTGAATCAGGATAAAAAGTCAAAATACCGAAAACTTTCAGCGAGTTGTGAAAAACTTTGATTCAGAAATGTCTAAATGCTTTGTTTAGATGTTTCCAATCAACACCAAACATTTCAATATCCCTGAACTGAAATATTTCAGTTCAGTTCAACAAATCAAAACAAAATATTTGGTTGTATTGATTTGACATTAGTCCACGTCCCTCGAGCTGCCACGGAGTTTGATGGAAGTTGTAGTTCAAGTGTCTCATGCCTCCATTTCCCTATAAGGATTGGGTTACTCCCCTGAACGACAAGGTGCTGGTAAAATGACTCCCATAATGCACCACAGGGTTTCAAAGAGAGGGACGACCATAGTGCATTGTGCGAGATGTAGCCACAGCTAGGGAGCCCGACTCAAAGAGGAGAATGGAAGCATGGGGCACCTGAATTAGAAAAACCTATGAGGCACCATGACAGCTCAGGCCAACACAGACGAATGTCAAACCAACCTGAAACTAAATGGGTCCGTTCGGTTCAAGAAACCAAAATGTTTTGGTTGTGTCGACCTGAGCTGATATGAACTATAATGTTTTGATTGTCCCAATGGAAAATTTTAAAAAAATTAGTACAATCAAAGCTTTCCCACAGATTGCCATCGATAAAATTTTCAGGGAAAATTCCCAACCACCCATATTCAGAACAATTTAAAGAGGAACAGGAGAGGCACACCTAAAGCAGCCAGTGGCAAGCAAGTTGGACAGCAGGGCTGTGCTGGTATGTATGTTTGTCTTCCACACAGGTGTGATTCCCCCTGGTTTTTGGCTGCTCAAGCATTTTGTCTTCAAGAGTGAATTTAAAAAGTAACTTGGACGGGTAACATTTTTTGTGCTTATGGAATGGCTTGTTGCATCATTCAGCTAAACCCTTAATGGACCATTATAATGATACAACACTGAGCACACGAGGCAACTCAGGGGATTGGTAATGTGATAGTCTTTCACCAGTTTTAGAATCTAGGCAAGGTTGATAATGGGGGAGAGTCATTAACACCTGTAAGCTGTTCAATGGCCAGTGCGCAGTGAATGGTGGTCTTTATCTAGTTCTTGGTGCACAGGTGTGCACATCATAATTGACAATGATTGACAATTTGGTAAGCAATCTCAGCAGAAGTAAGGTGGGAGACTAAACTAGTCTTTCATTCCTAGAGTGTGATCCCAGAGAACCTACAGGGGAGGGAAACTCTCTGGCCTGTATCCATTCTGTGGACAAATAAAGGGCTTTAGTTTTTAGGGCTGTTAACCTGTTGTCTACCAAAAAAAAAAATGAATTTGTTTTATTTATTCTAGTATGGAACTGTAGGTCTTCTCACTGAGAGAGTGCAATGTGAATCCATCTTTGTGTCAGTGAGATCTTCTGTCAACCAATACAAATATGCTGGTTCAGATTCTGGCACCCTTACTCACATTGAGAGTACTTTTCTCTGTCTCAACTTCCATTGATTTCAATTGGGCTACTTGTGCCATAAAGAATTGCTTAATGTGAATAAGGGTTGTAGATTCTGATCCTTTACAAATAATGATTTTATGTTGTTGTTAATAACAATTCAGTACTTTTAAAAGCATTTCATGAGCAATTAATATTCACAGCATCACATTACAGATGGGGAAGTTAAGGCACAGACATCATGTTAGTGGCCAGGATTAGAATCTAGGTATTCTCAGTGCTTTCCTGCTCACAAACCATCTGCAAAAATCTA